ATCCATAAAAATTAGGTCGGCTGTTCAACGCCGGTTACAAAATAAAATACTCTACTCTACTCAGGGGCTAGAATAGCTTGGTTGGTAGGGCTCATGTCCAAGAGGTCGTGGGTTCGATCCCCGCCGGCCGAGGACTCCCTGTGTAGTAAATGATGACTGATGCACGTTAAATCTGTCGGGTCACAAAGTTCTCCATGTTTCCATTAAAAAAAATTCATACTCTGGGGGTACTGATCCAGGAGTTTCCTTGTCTTCTGGATTGCGTTCAAAATTACAAGGCTACGGAGTTGAAAGCTAGTAGTCGTAAACCCGAAATTGGGTCGACTGTCCAACGACTGTTATAAAAATTACTCTAACCAAGAGCCGTGGTGACTCAGGGGATAGAGCGCTCTCCTCCCAATTAGGTAACCCGGGTTCGAATGGCAAAGTCAAATTTTTCCCAATACTCGATCCAGGAGTTCCCTTGTCTTCTAGATTGGGTTCAAAATTACAGGCCTACGGAGTTGATACGAATTTCTGTTCCAGGCTCGTAATAACCACAGTGCTGATGTAAAATATCCTCAATGTCAGACTGATCATGGATTAGAATTCCTTTGCCATTGCGCTAACCGTTGGAAATTTTCGTGGTTTTCCTCTCCATATAACGCAATTGCGGGTGAGTTAAAAAATCCTCCCAATGCTTGATATCGGAGTTTCCTTGTCCCAATGCTTGAAGTTTGTCCCAATGCTTGATATCGGAGTTTCCTTGCCATCTGAATTGGGTTTAAGGTTACGGAATAGAACATTAATAATCGTAAATTCAGAAAATAAAATACTCAACTATATATAAAATTTTATTATAAAATAAAATACTCAACTAGAAAACTAATTATTTCAGCATATTTTTTTTAAAGATAGATACTTTAAAAAAATTTTAACATATATTTTTTTCATAAAAAAACTGTAAATGTAAGGTTTGGATTTTAAGAAAGTTTTTGTAATAAAATTAACTTTAAGTGGCTAAATATTTCAAATATTTTGATAATATCTAGTTTGAACTTCAACAACTATACCTTTAAAAAAAAAATCCTGTGTTAAAATATGCACCATAACTAATACTAAAAATTAGTACAATAGAGTTTGGCATTCTATACAAAGATCAAAGGTACTATCAAAACTCATTTAAAGTTTTGCAAAAAAATGCAACCTTAATGCTTAGAAAAAATTCAAGCAACAAAACCACTTATCAGAATTAGTAAACTTGGTGACCCAAATGAACACATGACTTCCCTTAAATTTAAATCAAAATATATAGAAAAACATTTAAAAAAATTATTTCGTTTGAATTTCTATGCACCTGTAATCAATAAATTCATGATGACAAACAATTCTTATCTGAAGCAAACACATTAAGTCATCCTACATTGGTGTTCCTATTTAATGCAGTATTTCTTTCATTATCACTAGATTAAAATTCCTGATTTCTATTATTAATTTACTATTATATATTTGTGAATTTTTTACTATATGCAATCATTCCCTTTTAAAGATTTAAGAGTAATAATTAAATCAAAATATTTTATAAAGTGCCAAAGTCAGCTTATTTACGATCTTTCACAGCAAATTTGAACTTTTTTTTCTGCCCTTTAAATGAAACTAAAGTGTGACTAACTGTGTTAACAAAATGTACTTGATTCATATATTAAAGCCAAAATAGCTCATTAAGATCAATTTTAATAAGAGAAAAGTCGTCAAACTTATAGTAACTTCTCAAATACCTCGCCTCTCATCTAGAGCCTGGAAATTTCAAGATGGTAGATAGATAAGTCTTACGTCGCCAAGATCACCAAAATGTTCACTAAATTGGCAATGGTCTCACAGTCAATGACAGCACCTTTCTTTTGATTGTAAGTTGCTATGTGCAGCTAAAATAAATAAAGTCACTAAACTTTAATGTGAATTTTGGGGTGTAGTAAACACAAAATAAATGATTTATCATTTTTTCCAGGTAAAAATATGAAAGGAAGACATATTTTAATCTAAAGGACATAATTCATGTTGTATTTGTGTAATTAATAAATACTCAGCTGAAATTGAAAAAAAGAGGTACATTTCATCATTCATTTATTTTTAATCTTTTGTAACTAAAGAATAAGGAGTAAATACAATTTGTGAAATATTGAAAATTAATGATCAGCATTAAATACTTCAAAAGTACATTTTTCTTTTACATACTATAATAGTAGAGCATACAGCATTACATATTATAATAGTAGAGCATGATAAATACTTTAATTTAATCACATAATTCTGAGGATTAGAAAATCAAAAATTAAGTCACATTAAAAAATAATAATTAATATTTTTTTTTACAATCACATTCATCCAAACAAAATAATAGAATGATACATTTATCAATCAATAAAATAGACAAATGGAAAAATACATTTTAAATTACCTTTTGGAATGAATTAGTGATAAGCAAATTTCACAATAAAGACCGACTAGATTTTGTAAATTTCTATAGAAAATAATTTAGGATAAATAATTAATAAAATTTTACAAATGTTTAAAACATTTTCCAAATTAAGTTTTAAAAAAAATTCTCTTGACTAGTATTTTCAGAATTAAAAAAAATAATATTACACTTTAAGATTATAGAAATATAGCAAATAAATATGATTGAACAGCAAATATACAAATATAAATAAGAAATTGAATTAACTGATTTGTCAAGTAAGCAAAATCAATCAAAATAGAAATAACCTTTATATCAAAATTCATGTGATGAAAACATAATTCCATAAAATTTAATACAATGAAACTATACATATTTAAATTTAATTGATTTAACAGAGCATATAAAAGAAAAAAATTTCTTGGAATATAACCAAAAACATATATTCTTACCCTACAACAAGAACTTGGTAAAACAAATACATAAGGAGTCAGATTACATGATTATGTTCTTAAGTTCTGTTTTAAGTTTTATAAATGTTTTTTTTTATTTTAAAAATTTCACCCTTTGGTTCACTACTACTGAAAAGACAAATTTTCAGAAACCTTAAATGTTAAATAGTATACATATTTATTTCAATGCTTGTAATAAGAATATTTTTTGCAGTTTGTACCAAAAAACACCACAAAAGCATAAATGAAGTATATTCACTTAGAATCTCAAACTCTTGTAAATTACAGAAGACTAAAAATATTTAGCAATTGAAATTTGAGTTTCTACAAATACAATATAATAAAATGATATAACTTAAAATTAATTTCAAATTATATTAAAATGCTACTGTATAAATTTTATTACAGTAGACTATCTATTTGTTGTCACAAATCGCTAACAGATATAACCTTCTATGTGATTAGAAGTGTGGCGACAGCGGAACTTAGAAATTTTTTTTCCTAAAAGGGTAATTTAAAATATGGTTAACTTTGCATAAAATGTTTCGAATATGATATGATCTTACATTGATTTATTTCAGTTACGAAAGTGACATTTGTAAGTATAATATTTTTGTTTCTTGTTATGTATTATAAAAGAAATTTTTTAATGCAAAAAAATTATTTTTATCTTTAATTAAATTTCTTTCTGATATTCGATTTTGTAGTGCACTTACATTTAGGCAATTTTTTTTCTTTGTTAAATCTTCTATCATGCTGACTTGTCACTAAGTAATTATTATTTGGCAAAGTACCAAACAAAGAAAATTTACAATACATTTACTGACTAAAATTGCAAAATTTATGGTTTGTTATACACAAATCGCTGACACGAGGTAATGAATTAAACACACATTTTAAAATAATAAATTTTACATCTTCTAACTGGATAAAGAGTTATTATTTATTTGACTTCATGTTTATAATTTTTAACTCTAAATCAATTAAAGAACCATTAACAAAATCATCAGAAAATTAATTTTTTACCTTTATTTTACAACACAATCTGAAGTGTTTTGAAGAAATCTTAAAAAGATGTCAGATGATGCCCATAAGATTTTATCAAAAGGCTCAAAGCACATTTTGTTTCAGTAACTCTTAAATTAACTTTTATATGCAGACTTTAAAACTCCTCAACAGTTACATTTTTAATTCAAGGAAGGTTTTTGACAATTCACATAGTGATTTAGGCAGGCCATGCAAGATGAAAAATATAAGTTTTTTGATGTTCTTTTTTAAGGATATGTACTATTATTTCATCACTCCCATACATAAGATAGATTTCAAATGTTTGAAGAAAGTCATTACAAGACTAATGCTTGAGAAATGTTAGTTCAATTAAGATTTAATATGTTTCTAAATCACAACTGTTTTACATCGAAAATGTGGCAAAATGGTAGAGATTCGATTTTAAATGCAAGATGGATAATTTATCAAGTACCGTAGATAAGACAACGAACCACTAATTCTTAATATAACATTATTGATTGGGCTCACTCAAAAGCATTTTTTTATAAAAACTAAAGCCACAAAATAATACAGTACAGTAGGGAACCAATTATCCGGAACGATCGGGACCATCGCTATTCGGGATAACTGATTTTTCCGGTTTTCTGAATCGCTACAAAAAGCCGCTTTTTTATTGTTAAACCCAACTAAAAAAAAAAATTTGGAAATAATCTTAAAAAGAGAAAAAAACGATGAAGTAATACACTAATGATTATTTCCAAAATGATGGTAAGGTAAACATCTTTCAAAAAAGATAGAAAAATCCTAAAATCTTATGAGGGAAAAAAAAAATTTTTTTAAAAATGGGGGGAAAATTTATCGAATTTCATTTCGGTTTTTTGGTATTCTGAATTCCGGATAATGGGTTCTGTACTGTATTAGAAAAAATAATAATCCCCAGTACCTTTAGTGTTAACAAAAGAAACTTCTTCAAAATTCTTACAAGACTTCCTTGCGAGTTTACCAATAGAATAATTTGAATATAATAATCAAAAAAATGTTCCATACTTTTGTGGGATTGACTTTTACCATTTCCTTTTTTTTTTGGGGGGGGGGGGGANCTTTTTTTGGGGGGGGGGGGGTAAAAAAATAATTTTAATTTTACAGCTCTATAAGAAACTAAAAGTTATGATACCCTGACAATATTTATTTTTATATAGGTTTAACACTTATGTATAAAGTAAAATATTAAAAATAAAATTACATTTGAAAGAAAGCAGTTTTTAATAAAGTAAATATTAAAAATAAACTATTAAGTAATACTTTGTGCTGTTTGAAAATTCTTACTTCATTTACAAAATCAATCATTTGGCACTGAAATTTCCGTATAAAAAAAGGTTTAAAGGTATAACAACTAAACTTTCCTTAAGTTACAAACAGGCAGTATTGGAGAGTTCAACAACGTTTGCATCACGCAAAACAGCACCATGCTGCTCGTATAGTTTTTTATTTTGGTCCAAAGAACTGTCACTCAGTTTATTTTCATTACTTTCTTCGTTGTCTTCCCAGACACCAGTTTCAGTTTTCATATTTCTTATTCTTTCCTAAAAAGCAAGTAGGACAACTATGAAAAAAGTTGATCTAATAAAGAAATATGAATAACTTTAAAGAGAAAAGCAGACTAAACACAATTGATTATTTGTTTTCAATCTCAAATGAATGTAGAGGTCATCTTAAGACTCGTAACAACACAAGTTTGGATAGTCAGGATTTATTTAGAAAAATATATAAATACAGTGTTCTCCCTAAACTTTTTTCAGAGGGTGGTCCACAGAGTCTAGCCTTTGATCCCTATAAATGCACATTCTTTATTCTTTTTGCAAAAATAAGCCGCCCATCCCTAAGAAACACTACCTTTTTATCCATATTAACGCTACCTTTTTAAAAAAATTAATTCACTGTTTAAATAATAACTACACACTGGAAAAATTATCTGTGTATATAGGTTAAATTCTGATTACTGTTACAAAATTTACTTTGTTAGGATTATTCTCCACTCCGTAAATTTTTATAAGTATCTCTTTCTTCAGGGGGGGGGGGGATATTAATAAACTTTTTAATGGTTTTAAGTTTAAAATTACTTTTTAAATAATAACTTTTTTTTTAAAATGGCAATCTTAAATGTTTATTTCTCCTAATTTTCAGTTTAAATTGTATAAAAATCTTTCAAGTTGTTCATTAATTAATAATTTTTTTTAGTTCAATTTTTTTTTAAATAAATTAATGCCCAGAGATTATCTTCGGATGCCTTTAATTATTCTTATAAACAACAAATTTTTCTCTTATTCTGAGAATGAGAGATAATTATTTTTTGAAATATAACCATAAAATAGCATAAAAGGGTAATTCAAAAATTATTGAAGATGAAATTCAGTTATTACATATTATTACATGTTTTGATAAATTTTTAAGATGTTGAACAAGTGTCATTCCAAAACTTGTAGCGCCAATTTTTTAGAGGCAGCACCCTGCCCTATTTTATTCTTAGGCAGAATTCTGTAAATATAGTGTAAAAAATGCTGATAAGAGATGATACATTGGTGATACATTTTTCACAGAGTGTCTGCACAGTCAGGTATTTCCAGGTATTGCTGATATTGGAAGGTAAAATGAAATTACTGTTCCTTGTTATATTAATGTGTGTGCTTTTTCTGGTTTATTAAATCCACAGCACTTTGAGTTCATAATTAACAAAGAAAGAACTGGTGAAGATATACTAAAGAGATTAAACAAAGCCCAAAGCAGTTACACTAATCTCATTAAATTCGGGAAAAACAAAAACGTAAAAAATTTTACTAAAATTAGAATTTTCAATACTGATGCTAAATCAGTCCTATATAGATCTGAGACATGACACAGCAATAAAAATACATGAAAAAACTTCAAGCATTTATTAACAACTGTTTAATAAGAATTTTTAGTATCAAGTGGTTCCATAAAATTTGTTATGCAGCAATCCTTAGAAAGCCAAAACAGAAACCGATTAATCTGGAAATTAGAAAACATTAATGGAAATGGATTAATCACGTTCTACATAAACCTGAAAAATTTAAAGTAAAACAAAGGAATTGATTGGAACCCTCATGGAAATAGAAAAAGAGTAAGACGTAAAAATACTTGGCACAGGACAATTGTAAATGAATTGAAAACAATAAGAAAGATATGGAGAGAGGCAAAACACCTGATCACAAATAGAGTGAGATGGGAAGCTATGATAGAAGCCCTATGCTACAATTAGGAGTGAAGTGGAATATGTTGGTATATATATGTACTTTGAGTTCAGGGAGTACATACGCAGGAAAAGAACAATGATAAATATTTTAACTAAAATATTATTACCAGCTCTTCTTACATTATATTTATATATTATTATATAAAATTCTGATCATCCAAATTTTTGATTTAATAAATTTTAATAATGTTTTTATTCAAATATAATAAATGTTAAAAATATGAATTGATTTAATTCTGAAAACAAACAAGGAGGAATGGTGCGTAGGTCCAGAAAAGCTGATTTGGAGAGAAAGGATGAGTTTTCCTGTAATAACTCTTGGGGATAACTGATTTAGCACATAATTGATTTATCATAACTTAGTAACCCTCAAAAGATAGATAGCAATTCCAATTGACATTTTTGTGAAAAATGGATGTTAACTGTTCTCCTCCCATGGTCTCCATTTATTTTTTTCAAAATAAATCTTGAATAATGAAAAAATAACAATTATCATTACTGACACAACAATTTAAAAAATTTAATGAATAATACACTTGAAAAAATACATTTCATATTCTTCATATTAGAAAAATAGGGCACACTAATAAAAGTTGTTTAAATATGCTTCTACAGATAAGCAGTATAAAACACATTTTTTTTTTGCTTAAAAACTCTGTTAATTTAAATATGTCCCTTTCTTTACTAAATTTTATTACTCATAAAAAGCACTCACATCTATGTAAAATTTGTATTTAAAAAAAAATTACATAAAATAATTTATAGAAGTGTAAATGTCTAACTGCAAGAAAGTCAAAAGAACTTTTTTAGACGCACATTACTTTTCCTGTACAATCAAGAAAGTCTCTGTCTTAAGGAGGAGGTTGTAGTAACATAAAGATTGTGATTAAATTTAAAAATTGTCCAAAATATGAAGTGTCCATCCAGATGAAATGGACCCCTTGTATTTTGCATAATAAGGTGATAATAAGGTTTCATTACATATTTATTCAAATGTATTTAATTGTAAATTTTAAGATGATTATTATTTTTTTTAAATAAAATTTTGAACATTAAAATAAGAAAGTTAGTGAGTACCGGCTTAATATTATTTATTTATTTTTAAAACAAAATAAAAAATTCTGATCCAGATATTTGAATGAGTGTTTGGAAATAGATATATATATTTCAGATTACCTTCCTTTTTAAAATTCTTACTGTTTTTATGTAATTTCAAAATGCATTTTGGACCAGGCACGTCTTTATATAAAAAGTGATGGATTTTTTTAATAATATAATGCATTAATTTCAACAGGTAAAGAAATAAACAGTTGTATTTTAAGTACAATTTCCAAAATAAGAATAAGAAAGATATTTATTTCAATAATTTGTTTTAATTTTTTTTTTTAAAAATATTTGTAAATATATATTTAAAAAATATATTTAAAAAATCTAAACAAATATATTTGATTTATACTATGTTACACTACATATTTTTATAGTTACTTTTAAGCAAGTGCGATCTTTATATCATCTAGCACAATCTGAAATTTTAGAAACTGTGATATCATGTTACGTTAAGATTTTTTTTGCTTAAAAAAAGAAACAAGTATGAACTAGAATTTGGATATTATTCTTTAATATCAAAGAGAAAATTAAACAAACTTAATTACCTCATCCTGTTTAACAAACTTTTCAAACATCTTGCTATAAACTTTTTTATCTTTAGTACTTTGGTTCTTCATTTTTTCATGACACAAAAGTCTACTTTGTCTAGCAACTTTATTTTCAGGATATAAATTAATCAGCTTTTCAAAATCCTCTAGAGCTTCACTGCAATCATTGATTAGCATTTTAGCCTAAAATATGAATAAAATTTAAAGAAAATATCTGAATAACTGTTTCATCAGTGTAATAATTTCAAACAAAGTAACAAAGTTGCATTAACTGAAATAAATATATTGATTATATTACATATTTCAAAGCAACTAAAGTCCAAATTTCCAAATTCAAAGCATGAAAATCCATAATCCAAATTCTAAAAAATGATAGAAAAAAATAGCCAGTTTTAAAAAGTTAAAAATGATTCTCATGAGATTTGCTAAGGCATTATTGGTAGGTATTTGAGTCTATAAAACTTAAGAATGGATATATTATAGGTTAAGTCATTGACTAACAAAACAATTCCAGGGGTGCTAGGATGAAAAAGGTTGTTTTTTAAGTATGGAACCAGAAGGGCAAAATACACTTCTTACATTCTAAATTCAAACTAATTAGAGACATGGTTTTAATTTTATTGTTATTCTTTACAATTTTATTTATTTATTTATTTTTTAATTTTTAAGACATTTATTACATTACACCTTCAGTGCAATATGTCACAACTGAAAAAAAGAAGAAGAAAATTTATTATAGCATTATGTTTATTTCTGCACATATAACCCAACTTATAACTTCTTAATGCACATATGACCCAACCATAGCAAAGCACCTAGCCAATTTTTCAGGGTTTTAAATTTTAACAGCCCTAGTAGGAATACCACGTAATTTTGACCTTATCGTGATAATATGGACAGCACCTGACCTGGTACCCTTTAGTATCTATTACTTATTACCACACAGCAACTAAATGGGGGCTTTCAGTCATGCTAGATTTAACAAGCACCTACTATATGTACAGTCCGCAAAAAAAAAAAGATATCACCCTGAATAACTGTTGTTCTAATGATCGGATTTTCACGATCTAAGTGTCAATCTTAATGGTTCCCGGGGGTGACCTCAAATATGCTAATTAATTAGTGCTAACTATTAATTAAGTTACGAAATCAGACACAAAAACGTACTTTCTCTGAATAAACATGTATTTTTTTTTACATATTTGGATTCTAGTAATGTTAATCATATTTATTTA